TTAATCAGGGATGTGTCTACTTTGGCAGGTCTGTTCATCAGTTTATTCGGGACATCACGCCTGTAAACCCCCGAAATGTTGAACTGTTGGAGAAGCTTAAGGGGCGTTGAAGGTGGTATATATGAAATACCATTGAGGGTAGTGCGCCAGTTCCCATTTATAAGTTATGCAGGTCTATCGAGGATAACATAGACATTTGTGACAGTGATTTCACCATATTTAAAAGATCCTTGTGGGTTTGGACGAGCAGCACCAGCAGAAACATTCCACCTGCAATTGTACGACCGTCACGGAGAAGATGTAACAATAGTCAGCAAGCATTAAAAACTATATCCCATCAAAGAAAAGACCAAAAAAAGGGTTATTAATGTATGGACTTCAAGAGAAAGAAACAAAATATCAGGCAGATGAAACTTTCCCTAGATATTAAACATCATTCAACCTCCTTGTATGTAATACAAAACAAACGCTTACGAAAAAAGAATACGGAGGTTAATGACTGACAACATTGATAATAGGGTAAGCAATTTCTGTACATATGAAGGTTATCACCATTGCCCTTAGAATTTAGGGAGTAACTGAATGAGTGTGTTTGGGATAAAATCTGAACTTTGGGCCAGAGAGAAAGTCGGCCCAAACCCAAGGCCCAGAGGAAAACTTAGGAGGCAGGAAAGAGGCTTTCGGCTGGGCACAAGTTACAAAGGCCACCTGCTTACCTGCTCAAAGACCACAGAGGGTAGGCTATTCAGTCACTACACAGCCCAATAAAGTACTTTATTGGTGGCATTCATGTAAAAAAGCTAGTGAGTCATCACCAAACCGCATTCGGGCACCGCTATTGCTACAGGAACCCAAGCTGAAGTCGTCTATAAAAGGAGGAAGAGAAGACAGAATTAGGGACACTCAAACAAACAAACAAAAGCCAAAACTCTGCTCAAGCCAGATTTGCCTTCAACGAAGCTGTAGTCAGCACAAGCCTTCATCCCATTCGGGATAAACCTTCCCAAACCCCTGTAATAGCTCTGCTACCTTGTTCATGGTGGTATCGATTCATTTTGTATCCTCTTCTCCCCCGTCAACCCCTCTAAAAGCTTTCAGACCTCTGACAGAGCCACAAAGATAGATTTTGTAAGAAGTTCAGCCTTGGCCGATAAGGTTCAAACTTACCCGACTATCTTTGCTCTGTCTTTGTCTTTTCTTTCTTTTAAAAGCACAATAACATGTTATATATTCCCAGTTATATACAAGTTATTTCTAGCAAAGTCATAATGAAAATGAGTCTTCAGCACTTGAATCCGATCTGAATCGCGTCAGAGTTCAAATCAGATCTAAGTCTTAAGCCCGGCGGGCATGTAATTTAAAGATCAGTTTAAAAGTCCTTGGCCTCAAGGCATAAAAAAGAACTCTATGTGAACTCAACCCATCCACGACAATCCTTGATAAGCGAGAAGTCCGAAGTTACTTGGGGCGCAAGTAATCAATCTATTTCTCCGTTTTGTTGCTATTATATCTTGATTCGTAGAAAAGGCTTAAGCATGGAGTGAATTCTGATAGAAAGCCTCAAGGCCTACACCTAAGGCCCCACGAAGGCATCTATTTAGCTTCATTTCATGTTGCGGTCTAGTTGGTCCGAGTATAAGGATTAACTCTGATGGGAAGCCTCAAGGCCTATACCTAAGGCCCTACAAAGGCACTCATTTGGGTTCGTCCTACCTCTTGGATTCAGATAATCAAAGGTATAATAGTGATAAAACTCTGGCAACCATAAAAGACCAAATATGATACACCCAAGCGCTGGTTTAGTTTGACAGGAAGCCTCAAGGCCTATACCTAAGGCCCCACAAAGGCACCTGTTATATCTAACTTGGTTTCTCGGGCGTATACATATTCAATCAAAGCTTAACACCCATTCAACATCTGCCATACTGAAGATGGCAGTGGCACGCCTGAGCACGACAAAGTTAATCTTGATTGTGAGCCTTAAGGCCTACACCTAAGGCCCCACAAAGGCACCCTTTCAAATTAACTCTGTCCTTCTCTTTCAGAACTGCCCGACGAGCCTTGCCCGAAGTGTGTCTTGCCCGACCAAGATCTGCCCGACAAAGGCTTGCCCGAACGAGCCCGAGAAGAAAGCAGAAGTACGACAGATACCCTCAACCGACGCCATTCTCCCAGGGGAGCTGTGTGCTCGTCCGCCAGGAGATTCCTGCGACGAACATAGTTTTGGCACGCTCGGTGGGACAAGAAACAGCTACACTTCTAAGATCTTACATGTCCAAAAAGAGAAGCTATAAACTTGCCAAAAAAGAAGCCAAGAAGGATTTTTTCCAGATGACAGAACAATCAGAAAATCCTTTATCCCCATCCGGATAGGTGGTCTCAGGTAGTTCGACTGCATCTGAAAAATCACAGGGGAAAGGGATTAATGAAGAACTGCAAGCTACAATGATCCAAGTGTTGAAAAGCATGGAAAGAATTTCCTTGGAGACTAAGGGAGAAGTAAGCAGACTCTGCATGCTTACAGGAAATCTACAAAGGAGGCTGGACTTGGAGTTCTCTACTCCAAAGGGTGCTCAAGGAAGTGGAATGAGTCCAGTTGTTATAAGAAGTGAGCCAATCATTCCTTTGTTTCCACTACTAGAAGAAGAAAATGATAGGGGAAAGAAGAAGGTGATACCTGAGGGGAGTCAAGCAGTGATGGAGTCAGCTTCAGAAAAGGAGTTTCCCAGCTTCCCATTATTATCATTAAATAATAGGAGGCAGAGCGAACAAGAAAGAATGAAGTTTGGACTGCCAGCCACGGCTGGAGAAACTAGCGGGAAAGAAACAACCACTACTACGTCAGATAAACCTCTACCTTATAGGCCACCCCCGATGGTCAACAAAGGTGGAGGATCTAATTGGAGAAAATCTGAAACCAGGAGGGAAGCAAACGCGGGCAATGACCGGAGTCCGAAGATTGAGTCAGCTATCCATGGCCAGAATGATAATTTAGCTACTCAGCAACTAAGAGAAGAATTGGCTGAGTTAAGAAGAACGGTGATTCAAAACGCCCAGCCTCGAGTTCGTCCAGTATTCAGGGTTACCTACCAGAAGCCATATCCTGAATATATCGATGAGTTAAATCCATTCCCTCTTAATTTCAAGATGCCCGCATTCCCGACTTTCACAGGGGAAGATAGCAGTGTGTCCTCCAGAGATCATATTTTCAAATTTTCTAATCACTGTGTGGCGTATGAGGACAATCCAAACTACAAATTGAGGTTGTTTGGAAATTCACTAGCAGGATTGGCATCTCAATGGTATTCTCTATTACCCCCCAATTCCATTGCTAACTGGGGGCAAATGGAGATGGCTTTCCATGAACAGTTCTACAGGATAGAGCCAGAGCTCACCATTAATGATCTGGTAGAAGTGAAACAATATGATCATGAGTCCACCGAAGATTTTATGATGAGGTTCAGGAGGACAAGGATGAGATGTCAGTTCCCTGTCAACCAGGCACAGCTCATATCCATTGCTCAAAGGGCTTTAAAATTACCTTTGAGAAAAAGGTTCTATGAGGCACAGTTTAATGAGCTACAAGAGTTGGTGATTGCTGCTACTAAGTATGAGAGGCTGTTACAGGAGGAACAGCAGGTAAAACATACTTCCAAAACTCCTCCATTCTACAAAAATAAAGCTACTATTCACCATGTAGAGGTAGGGGAAGCCGGACCCGAATGCAAAGATGATCATGAGGAGAAGAGTATAGATGTGTGTGCTGCTGAGATGACCACACCCTTCAAGCCATTGACGATCAAAGGGTTAGTCCAACCAGTCAAGGACCAGAAGATCGTGATGAATGATGGTGGGTTCGTACCCATGAAACCCCCAAAGTATCAAAGTTATTCTTTCGATCTAACCAAGGCGCCAGAAATCTATGAAGAACTTGTGCGGGCAAGAGTCATTTTTGCCCGACAGCACCAAAAAGATGCCCAAGCCCGAGGAACTCAAGGGGAAGAAGTATTGTAAGTTGCATTATACCTTCAACCACTCTATAGTCAATTGTGTCCAGTTTAGGGACTGGGTACAGGATCTTATAGTGAAGGGGAAGTTACTACTCGATTCACCTCAGGCTAGTATGATGGTGGATACTAACCCTTTCCCCGAAGCTCCTATTAGCATGATCGACCTCGTTTTCAAGGAGTCGGGGTTATCAACAGAGTAAAATGCCATTGAAAGGACCCGGGGGCAGGGGCTAAGATTGCCAACAATAAAGATGGAGGAGAAAAGCAGGTAGGCAAGGGGGCATAGAGTTGCCTGAGGCCTATCCAAATGGAGCAGAACAGGAGGAATGTTACATATCCATTCTAAAACAAAAAAGAGATTACAAAGTAATTCTATTCCAAAAACTTTACATCTTCACATAAGGTGATTATTCTAGAATGGTATGTTCGCATGATGGTAAAAATCCTATTTGGTTCAGCCAAGACAGTATGGCTGTTTACAAGTTCATACTTGGTTTGCTCTAACTCTGAAGTCGCTTTTTCCACCCCTTCGATCTGTTGCTCAAGGTTATCCAGAAGAGTTGTTTGCTCCGCCTTAAGGATCATCAGTTGTCTCTCCAACTTCTGAATTTCAGAAGAAACAACTTCAATCCGTTCTTTGGTCTGCATACTCTCTTCCATCAACCGACTAACTTGGGTAGAGGAGCTCGATTCTCTCTCTATGAAGCATTTTGCCCGGTTAGCCAGCCGGTCTGCTCTCTGATGTTGCTCCCTGAGGGCCCTCAAGTTTTCAAAGAAAGAAAGGAAAGAATCATACTGAGGCTTGGATAAGCGATCGTTTTTAAAGAACTCAGTAATGACTCTCTCGAGGTCACAGAGAGCCTTGAGGCTAAATGATGCAGTGAATTCTTTCTTTGCCCATGTTTGAAAGATTTGTTGCTGCTCCGAAGACATAGATTTTGTTGAAGCCTGCTTTGAAGACTTCAACCGCGTCTCAAGTCACCCGAGTGCTTCGAAGAGTTTGGGCAACTTGGCAGGATCAGAGGAGGAAGGAGAAGGGTCCGGCATAACAGTTTCTTCTGGTGAGATAATGCCTATGGAAGGGGCAATTTATGTTTGTTCAATCGGTTCATCTCTAGACAGGGAGGTGTCAACATCTCCAGAGGAAGAAGGAGGTTGAAAGCACCTTGGGTTACGGGCCATTGGAGGAGGGGAAGTTTCTTTTGGGGAAGCTCGCTACAAAACTTCAGGATCAGGACAAGATGAACTATACACAAGTCAAAACAAAAGAGGCTTTGGAGAGAAGAAAGTTACCTGACTTAACCCCAGGGTTTCACCAGAGAATGCACTAACTCCTTGTCGAGGTGAAGATTTTTCACCACCAGCGACAGATGGGAAAGTTGTGCCTGAACCTGTGCCTACATCCTGGTTGTATCCGAAGAAAGTAGTGATGATCAGCAAAAGGTCACCAGAGGAAGAAACAAGAAGAAAATATTCCAGCACCTGAGGTTGATCTTGAGGAGAAGAAGGAGGTTCATCGACCGTCTGGCGAGTAAGCGCTTGCGAAATAGTTGTGTCTAAAGCTACAGGGATCTCAGGAACTATGGGTTCTTTATCCAAGGCCACTGACGGGGAAAGGGGTTCATATCCCGAAGATGGCTGCAAAGAACATGGATAGGAGTTACTTGGGTAGCAATGTCCAAAGTTGAAATGAAAAGAAAGAGTAACACACCAAAGTATCATCCTCATCCACAAAATGCAACATGATTCCTGTGGAAGGATCAAATTGAGAAGAAGGGGTTGCATCTAGGGCAGGTTGCGGAGAAAGACTTTATTTCCTTGTAGCCTAAGCCAAATTATTCAAAATTCAGAAAGGTTTGAAAATAAGAAAGTATAAAGATAGAAGTCATACCTCTTTAAGCGTAGCAGCCCTTCGTGATTCCTTCTTAGAAGCAAGGGTTGACCTTTTAGAAGCTTGAGGTCCTGTTGAGTGATAAAGGGATAATCAGATAAGGGAGAAAGGTAGCCATTTGATCCAGAAGAGGAGAGACTCACTGGAAGATTGTTCTGTCTCTTTACCCGCTTCAGAAACAGGAGCAGATGGGGCTGCTGGTTTAGGAGGCACGGTGACTCTTGCCCGCTTACTCTTTCGGGTAAGAATTGGTCGTGTGGTTGCTGAAGGAAGTGCCGGATCAGAGATTGTGGTTTTAGTTATGGCCACCCTCTTTCTTTTAGATGCTTTGGTCGTATCTTTGGCTATTTCTTTAATTGTTTCTTCGGCTCCTGAATCCCCAAGAGATTCTGAGACGTCTGTCCCTTCCCCGGCTTCCCGCCTTTCAGCTTCTGCTGCAGCACCATGAAGAACTGCGGCATCAGCAGAATCATTCTCTGATTCGATGGCTTCGGATTCAGTATCAACTGAAGCTGCAGAAACAGGTAAGAGTGAGGAAAGTAAACAACAAGGAAAGCAAAATCGGATGGGAAGAAAGTCACCTATTAGGAGTAATCGGTTTTTCTCTTGGATCATATCTTTCCAATTTGCAAGCTCGCTCGAGCTAGGATATGATTTAAGAGAAAGCTGGCTGAAAATACGATCGTGGTTCACTTTCAAATCTCCTCTGTATTTTCTAGTCCACCTTTCCTTCCACCAAGAGGAAAACAGCGAGGTACATTCGAAATTAAGAACAACGGAATGTCGGGCTGTTTGGCTCATCACGTCCAAACTACGGCGGGCAGCTCGAAATATTGCTTCAGAAGGAGTCTGTAACCGAAATGAAGTGCCACAATGGATGGAGTCGAAGAATGGGACAGGTATGGATTGCCTAAATCCTAACTGCCTGCTGCAGAAGTTAGGATGATACACCTCCAAGCCTCGATCATACCGATTTCCCCGGACCCCCCAGGCCAAGTCCCTTGGCTGAATACAGCTGATAAACTTTTCCCTGCAGAAGGGAGCAGCATCCTCACCAGGGGCATCTTGGAAGGCTTGGTCAGAAAACCAAGGATATCTCCTCAAGACCGATGCACCCCATTCCAAGTCTGACCGAGTCCTGCAGACTCGGAAAAAGTAGAAGCATGCAAAGGTGGAATGATCTACAGGAGGAGCTTCAGCCAAGATTCGGGCAGGAGCCACACCCTCTGGAAACTGTAGATTGATAGCCCGAAATTCTGGAAAATACCATTGTAGCCAAATCTGTATCATCCAGATGGGGCCGTTCAAATTGGTCTCAAAGGGCTCATCCCGGGTCATGTCAAAAAAGAAGGTGATAGAGATGGGAGAGAAGGAATGGACCTGTGGCAACGTCATCAAAATTGTGAAGAACCTCTACCAAGGGGATCCATTCTACCCGTACCCCCTTGGATTTGTTGGGGAAGACGTGCTTGTTAAGCCAGTAAAGAAGAAAGTACATATGCTCTTGATCTTTGTCGGCTTGAGGAGAGCCTGCCCCGAAGTTCTTCTTGACAAAATGGATGAATCCTTTAAAGGAGGTCCCATAACTTTTGAAAGTAACTGAGTTTTAGCTGAGAGGAAGGAAGTAGGTGGAAGAACTTGAGCCCCCGGTGGTAGAGGATGGAATCCAATCTTGAGTAACATCTATCACCCTGCCCGATGGCCTCAACCCGAAGACTTGGGCCATATCAAGAATGGTGGGAGACATGGGACCCATACGGAAATCGAAGGTGTTTGTGCCCGTATTCCAAAAGAGGAGGGCAAAAGCAAGCAATTCGGGCTTAGGGGTAATTGAAATCTTCGAAAGCATAATCAGTTCGTAGATGCCGTTACTCATCCATTTTTGCTTGAAGGAAGGTTCCAATTCGTCAATCCACTGGGCCCAGGCAAGATCATTCACCAAGGGAAAGCCTCGACGATGAAAAGACCACTTAGAAGAAGAAATGCCCGAGTCGGCCAAATAAGGATTTGGGGTAAACCAGTTTCCCCTAGGCATATTACTTTCTACTACTGAGGGAACCCGAGAAATCCAGGCAGGACCCAAAGATTGAACCCCATGTATCTCAAAGAAGAGTTCAGAATGCAGACCTGCCCGCGGACGATGCAGCCCGTTGAGCAGACGGCGTAGAGTGGCAATTCCTTCACCAGACTCGTAGGATGGTAGGGTTTGGCCGGATCCTGAGGCCATTTAATGAAGGCCGTGGGGAAGAAAAACAAGGAGAACGGTAAAGATGCAACCTCGTCGGACAACGAGAAAGAAATGATGAAAGAATTGGGGAAGTTTTGTTGTATCAGAGAAGGTTTTCTTTTTACGAAACACAGAGAACGGAGAAGTTCACTCACAAGGGTTCTAAGAGTTCTAAGGGTTTAAAACAGGGGTCTCTTTCAATTAATATTGGCGCTTGGGATCCCAACCTTAACATCAATTGAAGGGGGCACTGTTTGGGATAAAATCTGAACTTTGGGCCAAAGAGAAAGTCGGCCCAAACCCAAGGCCCAGAGGAAAACTTAGGAGGCAGGAAAGAGGTTTTCGGCTGGGCACAAGTTAAAAAAGGCCACCTGCTTACCTGCTCAAAGACCACAGAGGGTAGGCTATTCAGTCACTACACAGCCCAATAAAGTACTTTATTGGTGGCATTCATGTAAAAAAGCTAGTGAGTCATCACCAAACCGCATTCGGGCACCGCTATTGCTACAGGAACCCAAGCTGAAGTCGTCTATAAAAGGAGGAAGAGAAGACAGAATTAGGGACACTCAAACAAACAAACAAAAGCCAAAACTCTGCTCAAGCCAGATTTGCCTTCAACGAAGCTGTAGTCAGCACAAGCCTTCATCCCATTCGGGATAAACCTTCCCAAACCCCTGTAATAGCTCTGCTACCTTGTTCATGGTGGTATCGATTCATTTTGTATCCTCTTCTCCCCCGTCAACCCCTCTAAAAGCTTTCAGACCTCTGACAGAGCCACAAAGATAGATTTTGTAAGAAGTTCAGCCTTGGCCGATAAGGTTCAAACTTACCCAACTATCTTTGCTCTGTCTTTGTCTTTTCTTTCTTTTAAAAGCACACAATAACATGTTATATATTCCCAGTTATATACAAGTTATTTCTAGCAAAGTCATAATGAAAATGAGTCTTCAGCACTTGAATCCGATCTGAATCGCGTCAGAGTTCAAATCAGATCTAAGTCTTAAGCCCGGCGGGCATGTAATTTAAAGATCAGTTTAAAAGTCCTTGGCCTCAAGGCATAAAAAAGAACTCTATGTGGACTCAACCCATCCACGACAATCCTTGATAAGCGAGAAGTCCGAAGTTACTTGGGGCGCAAGTAATCAATCTATTTCTCCGTTTTGTTGCTATTATATCTTGATTCGTAGAAAAGGCTTAAGCATGGAGTGAATTCTGATAGAAAGCCTCAAGGCCTACATCTAAGGCCCCACGAAGGCATCTATTTAGCTTCATTTCATGTTGCGGTCTAGTTGGTCCGAGTATAAGGATTAACTCTGATGGGAAGCCTCAAGGTCTATACCTAAGGCCCTACAAAGGCACTCATTTGGGTTCGTCCTACCTCTTGGATTCAGATAATCAAAGGTATAATAGTGATAAAACTCTGGCAACCATAAAAGACCAAATATGATACACCCAAGCGCTGGTTTAGTTTGACAGGAAGCCTCAAGGCCTATACCTAAGGCCCCACAAAGGCACCTGTTATATCTAACTTGGTTTCTCGGGCGTATACATATTCAATCAAAGCTTAACACCCATTCAACATCTGCCATACTGAAGATGGCAGTGGCACGCCTGAGCACGACAAAGTTAATCTTGATTGTGAGCCTTAAGGCCTACACCTAAGGCCCCACAAAGGCACCCTTTCAAATTAACTCTGTCCTTCTCTTTCAGAACTGCCCGACGAGCCTTGCCCGAAGTGTGTCTTGCCCGACCAAGATCTGCCCGACAAAGGCTTGCCCGAGCGAGCCCGAGAAGAAAGCAGAAGTACGACAGATACCCTCAACCGACGCCATTCTCCCAGGGGAGCTGTGTGCTCGTCCGCCAGGAGATTCCTGCGACGAACAGAGTGTTTGTTAGTAAACCGAAAAGAAACATAATCAACTACAACCTTATGGATCTTGCTTGATTCATTTGAGTAATATGTGTCGTAATCATTAGGAGGATCAAGGAGAGGACCTGATGCAGGTCCTTGAGAATTGGGGTAGTGCAATGAATAATTTCCATAGAAAGTAACTAAAAAGAACCAATGAAGGGGAACTTTGCTTGCTATATATGGATATGCATGCTATAAGAAACCATTCATATTCAGTTCCAGCGACAGTATCTCTTTTCTTGAGTCCCTTTTGAATGGTATTTCTTGTGGCTTTGGATCGACAATAGTACTCACATACAAAAGATTACAAAACATTGTTTTATTTACCTGAAGAAAAACGACAAAGTATTGTTTTACTTGGTCACCTTTCAGAAAATTAGAATGACACTGAAAATGCTTTTGCTAATCAAATATCATATGCCATATTGAAATCGAAAAACTAAACTTTGAATTCAACTATTCACATGTGGAATAAATTGAAATGCCTCAAAATATTATCATGATCCAATTGTATATGGAAAATGCCTAAAAGTAATCCATGCCTTTCTCAAAAATAGGTCATTCAGCGTAGAGCACCAAGTAATAGCCTCTAATATCAGAGACAATACCTGCCAAGAAAGGAAATTAAAATATTAGGCATATGAGTGCAAGCTTACGGAAACTTTGTTTTTTGTACACTTTCTTCTCCCTTCAATGACAGTTTGTTTCTTATCCAAAAAAATAAAATGAGCATGTCAATGATACTCACATGTGCAAAATGCTAATCCTATTGTCTAAAGCTAACTGAGTTTTTAAGTGTAAATAGATATCAGGCAAAATGAAAAAGAAGTTAAAGACCTCCAACAATGGAGAGCATACCACCATCATATGTGATCAAGGGGAACACTATAAAAGCAGGCTGGAATTAGAGAGATAAGACTGGTGGTTAGTGGCATATTTTGATTAGCATTACCTCCAAGATAAGTCGACCTCTCTGATCATATGGGAATCTGCAACGCATGGATTTCCCGTAGATATCTTTTGCATCATAATAGTCATTATCAAAATGGTAAACATGATCACATGTTTCAGGATAGCATAAAGAACACGCGTATACACACCCCAATTGCAAACTCTGCAATGAAAATGACCAAAATAAAATAAAACTTTAGTTAAACTAAAACAATTGCAAAATCCAAAATTCAATTCTTTCTTTTTTGCAAACCCTGCAATGAAAATGACCAAAATAAAATAAAAACTTTAGTTAAACTAAAACAATTACAAAATGCAAAATTCAATTCTTTCTTTTTTCTTGTGTCAAAATTAATTTATAATTACAAACCTTCATAAACGCATCAATTTTTGGATCCGGCCTTATGTTCCTTTCCCTCTCTAACAGTACCAAATCATTCATGTATGCTACAGCATAAAACAATTGGCAAAAACAAGGGAAGGATATCAACAGTGCTCAATTGAGTACATGAAATCAATTGCTGGAATTAAGAATCCAATGTAACGAAATTGCAATTAATAGGAACATACCTGCATAGGCTTAGCTTGCATCTTGACATCTAGTTGTAAAATCCAATGTTTCTCTTACGGTCAGCTCTGGAAAATGATTATCTCTTTTGGTGGATTTATGGCCCAAAATTCGAACACCAGAGTTTCCTGAAAGCAAAATAGACTGAAATCAGACAGTCACACGCAGCATCCGAGCACACATACAAAACCCCCAAAAATTATAAAATAAAAGCAATTGTAGGCTGACTGGAAAAGTATTATCTTTTTTTTTCTTTTTTTTTTCTTTTTTCTTTTTTGTGTGTGTGGAAATGCTAATATATTCATTTTCCAACCCTCAAATCTATTTCCCCACAAAACCAAAAACAAAAGGTTAGTTTGCTCTCCTCGGAAGCAAAGGGAATGAAAGAAAGGAAGAGCAAAATAAAAGAAAAGGGGGAGTCTAAACCTGGACACCAAGCATAATAAATGCAACTACTGCTAAAACATTTGTCAGATGATGTGAAATATGAATCATGAACATATACACAATAAAGTTTCCCTTATGGAATCCTCTAATAATCTGGTACATATTGGATCACCTAGAGATGAAGAAACAATAATAGAAGCATGGAAAAGAAGCTCTAAGAATTAGAAAAACATCATTCGAATGATGAAAACGCAACCTCTACCATATGGAACACATTACAAAGTTCAATCAAATAATTTACCGGTACTGATTCTTGAAAGACTGGAACCGATTATCGATACCACCAATCCAAATGTTTGAATAAACATCTGTTTTCCCTCAAGAGTGAACTGCATTGTAACAGAATCACTTCGACTTAAAAGGATGTTTCCCTTGCAACAAATGCATATTCCCAAGTCAGCAATTCCAGTGTTACTATGATAGAGCATAGACACAAAAATAACCATACCAGTGAAGATCACGGTGCTCAAACTCATATGCAGCTTCAGCCACAGCAAGGGAAGCTGTAACCTGGAACGGTGATGCAATCATTTAATAACAAATCAAAGCTTCAGGAATCACCTCTGGAATCCTGTTTAAACATATAATTTACCTGGACCAATCAACTCCGTGCTTCATCAATGTTCAGAAGTACAAAGCTTTCAAGATGTTCGCCACCATTTTCTAAAACAAACACGACATAGCACTGTATGCAAAATTGTGAGTTGCAATATAAACCTACGTAAGTAACATTAACCTCATAATATAAAATTTATTTTTACTCTAGAAGATCAACAAATCTTATGAAAAATAACTCCGACGATGGCTCAAAATGCGAATTGTAAACCCAAAATTTGAAATTTAATTGCTTTATCTCCTTACCCGATAAAGCCAGACGATTACTGATCACTAAGCATGCAATTCTTGAAAACAACCGAAATCAAAACAACAACTTCCACTCAATTTCTCAGCAACAAAAAGATCAAGCAAAATCAAAACCAACAACTTTCAACCAAATTGCACAAAAGAGTCAAAATTTAATTGCAATACATAACTATCGGTTCAATCGAAAACATTACATCTAACTGAAGAAACTAAAACAAAAGTATAGCGAATTATATACCTAAAAATGTCAAGCAACCAAGGCCATAATTAAAATGTTTTGCTTTAAGCAGATAATAGTGAAAGGGTGAGGATGAACCTGCTTCTATGAATTGCAGATTCGAGTGGATAAAGCTTTGTGTTTCAAAAAAACGTTCATATAGTTCACTTGCAAGGATCATCACACAACCAAAAATTAGATAGATTTGTACCAAGGAATACATAAGGAACCAAGAAATGGGAAAAGAAATCTACCAACAGAGGGATGAGAAGCAAACACCAAGAAATTATGAAGAAGCACATAAATGAGCATAGTGAAACCAAAAAATTCGAATTATGGTTTTAACAAATCAAACTGAAAACAAAACAATAAACAATGATTTTCAAACAGTGCATAACCTGTTGAATCAAAGGAAAAAACTGAAAACCCATACCGTCCCATACATCCCTTTGTCACTCTCCTCACTGACCTATGGACTAACCCATTAATTAACCCCAAAAAAATGCACACAACCATGCTTTATCCTCTCTATCTATCTCTATCTTCATGTCCATCTCTCTCTAAAATGATAAATCCCCCAAAATTGGACCTAACATATTAAACAATTCGAAAATCTAAGCTACCATTAAAGAATCCAATTTAAAAAACGAACTGGTCTTTGGATTTGAGGAATGTAGCGCAAGATCCGGCACACACACTATCAGTAGGGTTTGTTGATGACCCTACCCCGTCTCCCTGAAATGTCAACAATCCATATGGTATTCTCTTACCATACCGACTCTCTCACTTGTGAAATCCAACTGCAGCAACAGTGCCGAGACCCCTACCCCTCCCCTTCGCTCTCCTTCCATCACCATCTCTCTCTCTCTCTCTCTGGCCCTCCATCCCCAAAACCCAAATTGAACGACAACAAATGATAGCTACCCAGTGACCCCTTATATCGGCCAAAACGAAAAGGACAAAATTGCCCTTCGTAATAGACCATCCCACCATCGGATTGTAATCTTAGATGGGAAAAAATGTAATTAAATAATTTGGGCATCACTGAGGGCCAGGCTTCCTAGCCAAAACCAACACATTTGGGCCTGGTTGAGGGTCGGGCTGCTGACCCAAACCAACAGAAAGATGAATGGCATGGTTGTAATTAATCTGAAATTTGGATTGAAACACTGTTCATTTCTACAGTGCCAATTCCAAACCCTTCTTTAGACTAAAGTAATAATAATATGCTCCATGCCTGCTCTTAGTTCTCAACCTAACGGTTACATATATCTTTGATTTCTTGTTTGGTGTAGATATTGATTACTAACCCAATATTTATTTATGTTAATTTTACTGCAATCCAAGATGGTGCGGTATAATCGCCCATCTTGAACTGCAAATTTAATCTTACTGCGATCCAAGATGGTGCGGTATCATTGCCTATCTTGGACTGCAGATCTAATTTTACTGTAAATTTTAGGTGGAGCGGTATAATCGCCCATCCTACCCTGCATATTTAAATTTGCCTGTTGTTTAATTTCATTGCAATTTTAGGTGGTGCGGTATAATCGCCCACCCTGCTCTACGTATTTAAATTTTCCTGCTACTTGAGTGGTGCGGAATAATCGCCCATTCTATGTTACATTATTTCAATGAGAATGGTGTGGTACAATCGCCCTCCTCATTCACCTTGAAAATCTCGAGTTAGAAGTTTCGAGTGCTTATCATTTTGGCCTGAAGATCAAAATGAAAAATTTGTAAGAACCAGAAATTCTAACACTATATTCATCCAGGAATACATATTATTGCAAGTTCTTACACATCTCAATTTCTTTCAGAAAAGAAAATGGCGAACTTGGCAAAACTTGATTTTGCTGCCCTGGATATTACCGAGAAGAATTACCTTACCTGGGTACTGGATACCAAGATCTATCTGGAAGCAGGGAATCTTGGAGATATCATCAGCGAAGAAAACAGTTCATCCTCTTAAGATCAAGAGAAGGCCATGATCTTTATTCGTCGCCATCTTGATAAGGGACTAAAGAGCGAGTACTTAACGGTTGAAGATCCATTAGCTCTCTAGCAGGCCTTGAGAAGCAGATACAATCAATAGACAATGGTGATTCTTCCAAGAGCTCGCTATGAGTGGACTCACCTAAGGATCCAAGATTTCAAGTCAGTGGCAGAGTACAATTCTGTGTTGTTCAAAATTACCTCTCAGATGAAGCTCTATGGGGATACCATTACGGAGGAAAATTTGCTGGAAAAGACTTTCAGCACATTTCATGCCTCTAACGTGCTCCTGCAGTAGCAGTATAGAGCGCGAGGCTTCACTGAATACAACCAGCTAATATCTGTGCTCCTGGTAGCTGAACAGAACAATGAGCTCCTGATGAAAAACCATCATTCCCGACCTACTGGATTTGCACCATTCCCAAAAGTGAATGCTGCTTCCCTCGAAGTGAACGCCATATCCTCTGGTGGCGATAATCATAAACGAGGACGTGGCCACAAGCGAGGTCGGTGGAACAGGAAAGGCAAAAACCATGGTGATCAGTTTCACAACCAGGTTCCGAGGCATAATTCAGGCCCGAGCTTCAAAAATGTGAATCGCCACAAAGGCAAAGCTCATATGAACAATGCTCACAGGAACTCTGAAGGAGCCTGCCATAGGTGTGGTGGTAATGGGCATTGGGTGCGTACTTGTTGTACCTCGAAACATCTGGTGGATCTGTATCAAGCCTCCCTCAAAGAGAAGGGTGTCGAGACTAATTTTCTCGACCAGGCTAAACCAATGGATATACCTGATCCAGTGTGTGGCTTATCAGGGCAGTTGGACATAACCCACCTAGATGTTTCAAACTTTATTGTGGAAAGGGGAAATGAAGTATACCGGTCCGATTGAATCGTTTATGTTTGATGTACTTTTATTATGCTGAAATTGTAGTTTAAAACTAGCATTTCAATTCAATAAAAGTGGCATTTCCTGTTATAAATTGTTTGTTAACTGTGATTCCATTTACTCAGAAAGCATGGATAAAAACTGTGGTTATTCTCAGAACATGATAAATGGCGGAGATATTTGTCTTGCAGACAATGCAACCACACATACAATACTTCGTGATCAAAAGTATTTCTCAAGCTTAATGCTTACAAGAGTAGGGGTAACAACAATATCAGGATCTTCAGATGTAATTGAAGGCTCAGGGAAAGCCCAGATTATGTTACCAAATGGAACAATATTGTCTATACAGAATGCGTTGTACGCTACTCAAAATTTGTTGAGTTTCAAAGACATACGTTTAAATGGATACCACATTGAAACGAAAAGTGCAGAAAATGTGGAGTATATATGCATTACCTCCAATGATACCCAAAAGCGTATATTGGAGAAGTTGCGTGGTTTGTCTAGTGGATTGTTTTATACATACATAAGGACAATTGAATCACATACTGTCATGAACCAGAAGTTCATTGATTCAAAGGTTTACATGTTTTGGCATGACCATTTAGGTCATCTAGGATCCACCATGATGCGTAAGATCATTACGAACTCTAATGGACATCCATTATTGAGCAGAGACATTGCTATCTCAAATGATAACCCTTGCAAGGCTTGTTCTCAAGGGAAGTTGGTAATTAAACCATCACAACTAAAGGTTGATGCTGAATCCCCATCATTTTTACAAAGA